TCTGTTTCTTAATATTTTGTTTAGTTTCTGGAAGACAACTTTTGTTATTCAAATGTATCTTTGGATTTCTGTGTCACATTTTCCATCATCTGTTAAATAGTTAAATTTCTCATTTAAGTATAAATAATAAAAAGACATTTTTTTTTTTTCTCAAAGCATAACCTTTATTTATTAGAGAATAAAATTTAATATCAATGTTCAAACTTTACCACATTATCACTTTTAAACCTAATACCAGAAAAAAAACATTTGAGTGGTCTTTATTTTCTCAAACAACAGCTATGAACAAGTCCAAAAGCTATCATTGTTAAGTCAGTTATTGCAGTGGCATATATAATCAGGAAAAAAAAAACATTTTTAAAAATACATATTTTATTAAATTTGTATTTTTATGAATGCAGAGTTATTTAATACTTCTTCATAAAGTACAACCAAAGAATTTAAACAAAATATTTCTCAACAGAAGCTGGAAATAAATAACACATGAAAAAATATTTAAAATTAATGTATGATTGAAGGGAGCATCAAATTTTATTTTAAAAAAATTTGTACAGTAAGTTTTGAAACACTTAAGGGTCATCAATATTTAAGATGTTATCTTCCATGAGAATGTGAAGAAAGAAAATAATTGTTATTCTCCTATATTTTCTGTCCTGTTAGCTTGGAAATTATGACAAAAGAATATGTCAGTACAAAAAGAAAATCAGAATTGGCACAATTTACAATCTTTTTAATTCTTTGACAAAAACATGGAAAAGAAAATCAAGAGTAAAAGTTATTCAATAACTTACCACAAAATAGCAAAATTAATGATTGTATTTCCTTCATATTTTACTCTTATTTATCATCTGCCTATATTTCTGAGAAGAGGCATTGTAACGATTTACATTGTTTCGGCTGTTGTATGTTCCAACAGTCTTCAGGCGATATTAGTTGGAATTTCGAACCAAACCCTTTTATTCCATGAGATAGATTGTTCTAATTCCATGTACCATGCCTTTGGATATCTCAATTTCAGTTAATTCCTTTTGGTAACTCAACTCTCCAAGTTTTTGTTCCCCCTGCCGTGGCCAGCTATTGAACTCACAACTCCTTTGGGTAAAGTCACTTTTAGAATCATTCAACCAACACTTTTATCTAGTGAGTGAATTTTTGAAATTTATAAACCTAATGTCTCAGTAACCGTTTTTACCAGAGCTCATATTACAATTTTTTGTTATTGTTTTTTTTCTCTTGTTCTCTGTATTACTGGTTCCCATATTGTATTCATATCTACGCTTGGCTGGCTTAGATTTTTGGAGCCTAGCATAAGCGCTGTTTCCTTAAGTATTTGTATTTTCCATTTTCTTTTATATCAAGTTATTTTTATTTCACAACCTCCTTTTTTTTTTTTTTTTTTTTTTTGTGTGTGTATATATATATATATATATATATATATATATATATATATATAGTAAGATTAATACAATAATAAAATTTGTCACTTAGCAGATTTGTTATATTCAGTACCTCAATGCTTCAGTTTTGTAGAGGATCCTTTTTTAATTCAGTCTACTCATCAGGAAGTTTCATCAAAATTGACTGCAGATTTTCTCATTTTTTGTTATTTTTATGCTAAAGTAAAAATTAATTTATATATATTGCATGAATATATAAAAATCTATCTTACATATTTATAAGTCTACCATTTGATCATGATTTGAATATTGTTGCCACATATGGTCTGGTGCTTCTATGTATTTGGAGATAAAATACAAAGAAAAATCTGCAGTGTTATTGGTCTTGATCTGGCATCTCAGCTTCAGTCGCTTTCCTACTACCGTAACATAGCTTCTCCTGTGCATTTTCTATAAATATTTTCCTGGTAATTGTTCTGATGAACTTTCCTCTATGGTTCCTAGACTTTATGAATTTAAGCAGAGTACTAGAATTTACAGTTGAAATGGCTGTGTGTAACCATAAGTTTTATGCTAACAGTTTCTTACGGATTCTTGCTTTCTAGTCAACTTTGAACTTCAAAAATTTAAATGCAACGTCAGTTGCTATCTTCCGTTTTCTTAATTCCTGTTCTTTCTTTCTTCTCTCTCTGTAATGTTTTTATCATTTTTTTCACACTCAGTAACCACTTGCATCTTGGTGGCTTTATTGCCTTGCTTGTGTGGAAATAATAAAAGAGAGAAGAAAATGTTCTTATCTATGTTTTAATATCTTGAAAAGAAATATTCTTTCTGCATATAAGTAATGGAGAATAAGATGAAAAAGTAACCAAATTTTTTTTTTTTTTTTTTATACTTAAAGTAAGTGCTGAAGAGGATATCCTTCATGCTTAAAACAGTACGGCACACTATATTCTGTGATACAAAGTAATTATATTTTGTTATAACGTATCTGGACACAATATACACTATATTTATAAGAGGGTGTTTTTTTTCTAGAAGCTTCACCAACGTTGATTAAAATAACTTGTGGCACATAAAACGGGAAAAGATGTAATACATGTTTAATGACTATGACAGAAAAAGAAAAGAAAATTGAAGAAAGGGGAGTTAGAGGAAGACGAAAGAGGAGGGTGAGAAGAGGAGGCAAAGAGATAAAATAGAAGAGAAATAGTTGGAACAAGAGAAAATGAGGAAGTTATTAGTGAGGGAGAAAAAAGAAAGACTGAGAAGCATAAATAGATAGAAAGAAAAGATTAAAGAAAGAGGAAGAAAAATAATCAATTTATTATTTTTATAATAATTGACTTTGCTGTTTCATATGATACAATAGTAAACTCCTCAAACAAAAAAAACCCGATAAGATTGAAAAATGCCAGAATCTGGCTAGGGAGCTGAAGAAGCTATAGAACATGAACATAGAACTAATTCCTGTAGTAATGGTTGTGCTTGGAACACCAGATAGAAAACTGAAAAAGCACTTAAGGAGAATTGGAATTGAGACCAAGATTGTGGACCTCCAGAAAATTGTCATTATTTACTCTGCAAGGATTCTCTGAAAAGTTCTGGAGTTTTGAGTAGTCTTGTTGACATTATGCCTCAAGAACAGAATTTCCATTGACTATGTCAATGTGTGACATCAAAATAATAATCAATCATGACATTTGAAGTAACAATGAGCAAATAAAATCAGCAAACAATAAATAGAAGCTTTCATTTTATTGGAATGGCCAAAGAATTGCTGGAATTTGTTCATTGCAAGGAATGAATTCATACACATATTCTCTCTCACTCACTCACTCAAACACACAATAACAATACATTGTAGTTGAAATAAGCATACAATATAAATCAATATATAAAACAAATGCAAAAAAGGATTAATAAATAAAAAATAGCAAAAAATTATTTTTGTAGAATACTGTGGAATGTTTTTATTTTCAAAGTGAGATCACCAAAAAAAATCATTAAACAGTAAGCTTACTGATTTATTTTTCTTTTTTCTCTTCAGGATCTCAAAACCAAAACCTCAATTGTGTCTATAATTTTGAATCATTATTGTTCAAACGTAACATTTTAACCAATCCATTCTACAACCCTTCTTCAACAGGGAAAGAATCTGAGAAGAACCACAAATATTAATATGGACTCATCTGCATAACATGGGTTGTTGAGAATGGAGTTGTCTGTGTAACTCCCATGCTGGAAATGAGCTAAATCAGTGGCCAGTAAATCAATCACTATTACTTTTTAGTTTACCTATAATCTCAGAAGAAAAGATAGTTCAATCTTTTCTCATAGATTGCAGATATAGAGATGGATGCAGAATAACTGGCTGAAATATTGTGGTAACCATAAAAAGAATGAATTCACTTGTACTGGAATGTTCAATATTAATAAATCTTGATAAATTTAAACCGTACCAAAATCAGTTTGAATTTGTACAAAAAGCAACTCCAAAAGTAATACTCTCACTCTTATTTCCATGAAAACTGCAACAGATATGGAGAGCACAATAACTCTGGATTTTATTTTTTGAGATATGCTTTATTTTATGGGTTGATAGCTATACAGAGCTGCCTGGAACATCATTTGTCACACACATTGCTGACGCTAATGCTAAAATGCACTACACACTGCCTAACTCTGCTCACATCCACTCTTGGGTCTCCATAATTGTTCAATGAGTGTCAATGGGTTCAATTCTTTTCTACTTGGTGCAATTAAATATCCTTTTGCTTTGTATGCACTTGCATGTCAGATGGCATTTTACCAAACTGCTATCTGTAACAAGGCAAAAATACTTATGGGTTAGTAGAGAGAATATCAGCCTCTAGTGATATACTGCCAACATCTGCCCCGGATATTTTAGAGAAACATAATAAAATAGGAGGCATTACATTTGGAGCAAATAAATAAATAAAAGAACATTTTTTTTTAGAAAGCAAATAAATAAATAAAATAACATTTGTGGGTTTAAATTCCACCAGTGACTATTGAGTAACTGCTTTGCATATTTAAGAGACTTCTTCTGTACATAAAAATACAAACAGGTGTGTCACAAATTCAGCATATGAAAATCTATAACCTGTAAGTGGAAATATCTTTTTGTGTGAGGTGTTTCATCCTTTAGGACTTTATCAGACTAAAGCAATGTTTATGTTGGTGTGGCCACAGGTGTGTATGAAGGAGAGAGGATACTGAAATTTTTTTTTTTTTTTTTTTTTTTTTTTAAATGTTTTGGTATATAGTTTAGCTAATTTCATTAAATTTCCTTTTGTTTGTTTTTAATCGGGTTTTTTTTTTTTTTAATTATCCCACATTGTGATATTAGAAGATTACCCAAGAAAGGTGAAATGTTGTAGGTGAAATTGTCATTGATTTTCCTAACATTGTCCTGGAATATAAAAATTTATATATCTTTTTTCCCAACCTGTAATGTAATAATGTGAGCCAAAAAGAATCATAGAAATAGTAGGTGATAATTAATGGGAAAAGGATCACCTGATACCTCTTTTTTTTTTTTTTTTTTTTTTTTTTTTTTGGAGGTGGGGTTTGAAAAAAAATTGAGATAAATAACAAGGATGAAAATGCTGGTCAGAGTGCAGATGGATTAAACGTTACTTTAATAAACATAAGGCCTCACAATGATTGATTTGCTAAAATAAAAAATATCTTCAGTTGGAGGCTTTCTTTCAAGGAGATCATTTGTGGACCTCATATTTATTATAGTATTTTCTACTTGATTTCCTAAATCTGTCAATTAACAAGTGGCCAATAAATGATAATTTTTGAATTCTTTCTTGATGATTTTAACCATTAGCACTCTGCATTATTAATATTACTTCCCACTGCATCTTTTTCAAGGGCTCTCAATTGCAGTATCGTTATTGTTAATTTCACTCAGTTTTCTGTTGCCATAGCAGGATATGACAACTATGAAATTCAAATAAGTGGCAGGGTAAACTTTTTGTACAGCAAATGAAGTCACAGAGTGGTAAAGATTGATCAGTTATGTATTATTTTATTTCCAGTGTAAGGGAAATTGTTTCTTTAATTTCTATTTGAAAAATAGGAATAAAAAATATCCAAATAAAAGGATAAAATTAAATAATAAAAACAACAGAAAAAAGAAAAGTAAAATAATACAACATAAATTGATCTAAACAATTAAAATAGCAAACATGGTGAATGAAAAAGAATACAAAGTCAAAAAAAGAAAACAAAAAAAAAATATTACACCTGAAAAATATTTGATAGTCACTTAATCAAATATTTACTTGTTATTTGGGTAAGCAGGGGACTGATTTTAAACAATCCTATTTGACTCAATCATGTTCTACTTTTTCTCAAATACTACCTCTATCCCCACAACTGTGGAGAAGCTTGATTGAGATCCTGGGAAGTGCTTTGTAACCCTCACTATCTTAACATTTGCTTTTTTCTACATACATTTATACAAGTTACAAATTAAGCTAAGCACAACTGATAAAGGATGAAATTTTTTTTTAAAGAATTTGACATCATTCTGTTTTTGTCCCAATCTGTGAATTTCTTTTGCTCATACTAAGTCTTGAAAAACACTATAAAATTCACTTTTTTATCCATAATGTTGAAAGGGTTAAAATTATTCAACTTTTTAAGAAAAATTTCAAGTTGATAAAAATTACCACAAAACATTGTCGATTTAAGAGGGAATGATCTATTATGACAGTTCTAATATGTATCTCGAAACATTATATTTTCAATTTTTCTAGTTGAATTGTTCACCTATATTGCATGTGATCCATTACTGTACGTAATTAAGTTATATTTTATATCATTACCTCACGAAAATTGAGATTTAGTAGAGTGAGGGTGCTCCATGTCATAGATTCTGTGTGTGGTGGTGGGGGGGATGAGACCCTTGCATTGGCCCTACTGACACTATTTTAGTTAATTCTCTCATTAATATTATCATTCCTTAAATAACGAAGGTTAATAAAATAATAAAAATAGAGAAAAATGAAGAGTAAGAAAATAAATTTAAGAAGAAAAAGAAATGTGAAATTAAACAAAAAAAATAAAATTGAAATAGAGGGGGAAAAAAAAAAATTTCAAGTTGTTTCCACCATACTTAAGAAGCTATGTTTGATTTATATTCCCTGATCCTGTTTGCATTTCAGTAATAATTAATTTTTAAATTATTTCCAAAAGAACGCAAATAAGATTAAGTCAATTGTGATCTTTTTGTTATAATCTATCATCTGAAATAATCATTCTTAGTACATTTGTGCGTTAAGCTCTTCCTCAAGTACAGTGGATTAAATGGTAAATGTTTCTCCTTAGGATCCAATTCTTTTGGAGTTTTTAAAAAATATATTGATTAAAAAAAGAAATAACATTTCCAATTTGCTACTTTATTCCTAAATAATGTAAGCAGACATTGCTTTGTAAGACACCTTTTGTAACTTTGAAAAAAGCTAATATCATTCCCAAAATTGTTCAGACATTTGAATGTGTGTTTTTTTTTTTTTATGGGGGATAAAATGAGTTTAGTAGTTCAAGCAATTAATTGAATAACAGAAATTGGAAGATTTAAATTTTTCTTACTAAGCAGATGTGACTGATCTATTAGATTTTAGCAGAGTGGAAAAATATGGTTCTTTAGCTGTGAACAGAATCTATAAGCAATAGAGAACTGATAATACATTATTTAATAATAGCACTCAGTGGATGAAAGGTAAAATAAATACTTGATAATGAATGGGTAACATGTCTAGAAAGCCATTCAAGGCAAACTATGTTAACCAATTTGGATTGACAGAAAATAACATCACACAAAAACCAGTCTAGGAAAGGCAATGCAAGTAAAATTATTCAGAAAACATGTAACCAGTTGAAAGTTTTGTTTTCATAGTTTACTCACATTATAAAGAATTTTATAAAATAAGGAGCTACCTTTTAAGCATAAGTTAAAGAACCTAATTTAAATTTGACAAAATAAATAACAAATAATACTGATAAATCATTGGAGCTGATCCACATAGACACTTTGTTAAAAAAAAAAAAAAAAAATGAATTTATCTAAACTGTGTAATAAAAGGCCTAAATTGTTGAAAATCTTTTATGCCCCAGGGTAGTGACTATGATATATTTCTTTGGAAAGAAATAGCAGATGAAATAATTTCTGACAGTAGATTAACTTTTGTTATCTGATATAGAATATATTTTAGAGTATGTGCTGTCCATTTAAATATTTTCTATAATTCCCATTTTCAAACAATTATTTTTTTAAATTTATTTTCTATTCCAATTTTTTTTTTTTTTTTTTTTTTTTTTGCTTGTTTCAGGAGGGATGTTTTGCAGTTTTTTTATTTCTAATTTCATTTTTCTTTTGAAAATATTAAAATAAATACAATGAATAAACTAAATAAAAAAGGGGACCTAAAATAATTTTTTTTTTTTTTTTTATTAAAAACTAAACTAAAAAAAGGGGGGGAAGCATTTGAAAAAATTTTTTCACCAAAAATGGTAGATAACAAAAACAGCCACCATATGAATATGTACAACAATAAATTTTTCTGTACACTGTACACATAGCGCCACCTGCAGGACGGGTGTGGAACCTAGGGTAGAGGTGTTAACACCGCAAGGCATGAGGATCAGTTAAATTGGACTGTGAATGCCCGCCGGGCATCATCACGAGCACTGGATCGACTAAGCCTGAAAAACAAGAGGAAAAAAAAGAAAATTTTAGATTTTTTTTTTCTTTTATTTACAGAAAACAAAAGTAAATCATTTTCAATATATATTCAGATAAAATTTGCAAATGAAATCTATTCCCAAGATTTTTTTGAAACTTTTTATCTCTATTTTTATAAAGGATTGTTTCATCAGAAAATATAATGAAAGAAAAATCTTAATGGTTTTAAAAATAAATAAAATTTAATCTAAGTTTGTGAGCAAATAAATGAAGCAACATGATGCTTTCTTTATATGATTTTCTGTTTACAAGGAACATAAAATGAGAGATGCCTGAAATCTTTGGCCTCAAACCTTTTAATTATTAAAAGTTGATTGAATGGTGCAATATTTATATTCACAATGAGATATCCTGTGGATTGTCTTGAAATTTCAAGAATCAGATGGCCTGGAACATCAAAACTACAGAAGGATATTTGAGACTTCTACAAATGCTGGGCTAGGCCACAAAAACTAAGCCCAATTTTTCTAATTTTTTTTTCTGAACTTATGTTGTCTCCCTGTAATACTAAAAATTCATTTTTTTTTACAATGATGTTCACCTTGTACAAGGCCCAAGATTCACAAGCTAGTGTTACATAGTGTGTGGCACAGTTTATGGGGAAATAATGGTCAACACCAGACTTAGACAGGTTAAGATTGTAGTGAACAGGAAAGCATCCTCTTGGGAGGTGGCTCTCCAAAGCAGTGGTTCATGGGAAGAAGCTGCTCGAGTCGAATTTACATTTCATAAATGGAATACAAAGAGAATGAGGGTGGTCCACTACAATGTGTGTGGCATGGCAGGTTTTAGCAGTGAAGGTTTAAATTGCTGAAACTAAATGTTGTTTGTCTGAACACTTTCCATGGAAATAGTAATAGAGCAGTGAGAGGCTTGTGATGTTTGTGGGGAAAGGAGTTGTTGGGTGGAAAATAATTTGTTACCCACAGTTCCATATAAAAACAGTTGTCAAGCATATAAGCATAATCTGGTATCTGTCTATATCTCTGAGATGAGGTATTATGACTACTTGCATTATTTACATTATTCAGACTGTTATCCTCATCATCAATGTTTTGGCCACTGTACGCTCCAGCCTTCTTAAAAAAAATCTTGGAGAGTTAAAGGGAAATAACTGAGACATCCGGAAGAAGCATGGCACATGGAACTACAACAATCTACCTGGGTGGATGAAATAAAGGGTTAGTTTTGAAATTCCAATCACATGAAGAAGGCTGGAGTGTACAACAGCTGAAACGTTGTGAATATGGTAATGAGGATAACAGTTCAGATAATGTAAATAATGCAAGTAGGCATAATCTGATATTGAGCAAAGAGAAACTGTCAAGAAACTGGTCTAAGGTGTCCCTCTATGAATAAACTGAAAACTGCCTGCAGAGTTTGGAGTAATAATTATAAATATCCTCAAAGACACATGGTCTAGTGGATAAAAGCATTGGTTGAATCCAGTGACTTGACACAAAAAGTTGTAAGTTCAATACCTGGCTACAACTGAGGTGAACAAAAACTTGGAGAGTTGAGTTAAAGGGGGATAACTGATACCAAGCCATCTGGAAGAGGCATGGCATGTGAAACTAGAACAATCTACCCTGGTGAATGAAATAAAGAGCTCAGTTTAAAATTCCAATCACCTGAAGAAGGCCTGAGTATACATCAGCTGAAACATTGTGAATATGGCAGCAAAGATGAAGACAACAGTCTAACAGTGTAAATAATTAAGAAATATCTATGCTTTAAAGAGGCTGTGTTTTGGAGTCAAGTTGTTTGGGCAGTGATTGTCAATAAATAAAGACCGAAGCTGTATAAACTCAACAATATAAACCAATTTAAAGTCCAAATCTTCTAAGGTTTTTATCAGGTGTCTTATCTAAAAAGAAATGCCTATGGCATTGTATCAGATGTTCTTTTATCTTATTTTATACCATGTGATGACAAGGTTTTAGAGAAAATGGAAATGAAGAGGAAACTTACACTTAATATCAGTAAGAGGCTTTTGAAATTTCTCGGGGCACATAATGAGAAAGGAGGTCTTGGAAAGTCTGATACTCACAGGATAGATTGAGGGAAAGAGGTACAGAGTAAAACAGTGCATAACATACTTGAATAAATAAATGGATAGTAGAAAAGGGTTTGGGAGAAATAGCAAAAAGACAAAACTTATTAAGAGCTACAAGGGACAGGAAGTTGTGGAGGGTCATGATCGCCTACACCCTGAAATGACATGGCACATAAGAGAAAAAGACATACAGTAAGGGGAGATAATATTCCAAATATTAGCAAAATCAAAATATTAAGAAAGCATAAAAAGTTCAGAAATATTTTTATCTAAAATTATATAAATAACAATTAGAAAACAATTAGTCAAGACAAGTCATTGCATAGTTGTTGACAAGCAACTGTAATCAAATTTAACTAAATCTTAATCTTGTCAGTGTGGCTTAAACAACTCAAATTCTCTCAATGGCTGATAGGGTTAAAATAGTAGTATAACAGTTCCCAGAGTCCAGTATATACATTAGACTAGTGTTTCTCGACCTTTTTAAGCAACAGCACACCTAGGAGCAAATGAAAATATCATGGCACACTTCACAAAATTTTTAAAGGGTATACATTTAAATATTATGAAATAAAACCATGCATTTAAAAAAAAAAATACAAATATGAACACGCTTTATTTCAACGTTTCTATTCAACTATTTGTGCAGCTTATTTAGTGTGAAACTTGTGCATAGTGGGTTTTTTTTTTTTTGTTTTTTTTTCGATTTCTTGAATGTTTGGTCAAATGTGCAATAAGCAAACCCTCATTTTTTCAGTTGATTGTTTTTCTCATTTATTTTTTGTGTTATTTAGGGTTGAAGAAGCCTAATTCACATAAGTAGAAAATTACAATAAAACTGATAAAGCTTTTTTAGCTAATATGGGATATTCCTTTTGAGACCTCAATCACTAGAAATAGTGGCCAGTTCTTCATATAACTGAAGTCCAATATTAGAACGAACATTTACGAAGGTATTTTGAATCCAATCATATTTTTCTGTGCTCAATGAGGGAAAATAATAGTCAATGTTGTCACTGAGCAGTTTCAGATAGGTAAGCATAATAGGGATTATTTCTTCATTTATTCAAATACTAATGTTGTACCATTACTACTTTTACACACACACACGTATGTTGTGACAATATTGTGTGGCACATTAGTGTGCCGCTGCACAGTAGTTGAGAATCAGTGTTTGACCTTACTATTTAGTAGTAGTATAGTAGCATAGTAATAGTGTTAAAATTATGAGGATAATTTTTAATATTCCATAAAAATAGACATTTATCACATACATACATGTGTCTTGCTGTAATTCCTGCAAGCCTGCTACCACATGACCCTTTAGCATGAAAGAAACAACGCTTGTTCCTTTTAGCTATTGCTGGTCTATGAGGCAACACAGTAAATATCTGTTCCCTATTAAGTCTAGAAGTTTTGTCTAAGAAACCTTGCCTTTATCATCTGATTTTGTTCCAAATTTTTGTCTCTGTATAAAAATCATTGTTTGTGCATTTCTTTGAAATTAACTCGTACTTCAGCATTACAGATCTCCCTTTGGATATTGGAAGCAATGAACAGTCAGGAGCAGCTGACTCAGTTGGTAAGTCCTGCATGCTGCAGACAGAATTGTGGCAACACTGGATACAAGTTGCTGCTTTGTGAGTTGACAGCTAGTTGGTGGACTGTGACTTTGTTTAACTACACACATAACTTGTTACTCTATGGGTTTTCCCACTTTTATATATATATATATATATATATATGCCAGCGTGCTAACGTGGTTCTATATTTATCATTTTCTATAACATCATCTGGAGGAAGAGTAGAAAAGCAGAATGTATATTTTCCTTGAGACCAACGGTTAGTAACAGGTAGGTCAGAGATGTATTATTCAATCAATATTTAGTTAGCCTTAGTTGGTAATTATTGTAATATATTCAACAGTATGGTTTGACCTAAAAGATTCATGTCAATGTAAAATGCCTGTTTTAAATGTGGCAAATGAAAGCAAAGTATGTAATTGGTGATTTATGCATATATATGATTACAGGTATTTACATTATTCGAACTATTGTCCTCATCTTTGTTGCCATATTTATCACGACATTTCAGCCCTTGTATGTTCCGGCCTTCTTCAGGTGGTTGGAATGTCAAACTGAACCCATTATTTTGCTCACTGGGGTAAACTGTTCTAGTTCCATGTGCCATGTCTAATGGATGTCAGTTATCAGTTATCTCCTGTGAATTCCCCTTTCCAAGTTCTCCACCGCCTGAACCAGGTATTGAACCTTTATTCACTCTGTGTCCTCAAGGACACATGGCACAGTGTATAAAGGTGCTAGTTAGATCCAGTGACAGGACCCAAAGAGTGAGTTCAATACCTGGTTAAGGTGGTGGAGAACTTGGAAAGGGGAGTTAACAGGAGATAACTGATATCCATTAGACATGGCACATGGAACTAGAACAGTTTACCCCAGTGAACAAAATAAATTCAATTCAACATTCCAACCACCTGAAGAAGGGTGGAGTGTACAACGGCTGAAATGTTGTGATAAATATGGCAACAAAGAAGAGGACAATAGTCCAAATAATGTAAATAGTGTACATAATACCTCATCTCAGAAATATAGACAGATATGATTACAGGCTTTTGAATATGAAGATGTATAAAAGAGTGACCAGGTAGCCAGATGGGAGTGTGCTAGAGAGCAATAGGTCATTGTCAGTGGAAATATTTCAAATTTCACTTGATATGGTTGGAGGTAACCAGATGATATGATTAATAAAAAAAAAAAAAAAATCCAATATTCAATCTCATTTTCTTTCCAATCCAACGCCACTCAGGCCACACTTGCTCTACACAGACATATTATACCTTTTTGGGATTAGGATAATCCCGGGATTGAAAATCTGCCCTTCATC